TCAAAATTAGGGAAAACTGTTTATGTAAAAAAAAATGCTGCACAAGATTTCCCAGTGCCTGACAGTTTCATAATAAAAAATAAAAAAAATCATGGTACAATTTAATGAAAAAATTTTGGTAAACATATTTGATGAGAAATTGACACAATTATGTTTACCTTGCTCTAAACTTTGTTTTTGTTTTTGTAGTTTGGCTTCAAGTAAATGAACATTGACACCTGGTGTTAACTTCTTAAGTGGTTTGTGGTTTTGAGTTTTTGTGCGATAGTGGAGATATCAAATTTCAAGTTTCCATAGACTTTTTGTAGAGTGGTTGATAAGAAGAGAGAGGGAGGAAGGGTTAGGGAGGTCATTTCCGAAGGCAGTGCTCTGGGTTTTGTCCCAAAAAAAATGTACCAATACAAGCGCAATTTGGTTTCTTTTCTGACACACACTATCTGAAAGTGGGTCTAAAATTTCAGTATACAGTATTAAATTTGGACATAAGTTGGATCACTGGAAACATTGGGTCAGGAAAAAGAATATCTATGGCACACTTCTGGTTTCATTCATGTTGACATTCAAGACCAGTGAAATATGTAGTACCTATTCAGACCTCTAACCCAAGGCACTCTATGCATGTATCAAATTTCTACAACTTTATTAATGAAATATTACATGGGGGCATTTTAATTTGTTGATTTAATAATATCATCTCTATGCATACTGCAAAGAATTCTGGGTAACCCACTGAATAAATGATGAGACATTTTAAATTATGTTAGACTGGGGACAATATGCAGTATAGGTGACTTCTATACTGGTTTCCATGGTAACAGTAGCCGATAATTGTGTACGAGCAATATACAACTATAAGCCTGGTATTGTTATGTACATTGGAATTGGAAGTATATACAGCACTTTTTAATACTACAGTGCCTACTAATAATTAAAACTTGATTTAATACGACCATTCACTGTATTTTCTTCATGAAAAGCTTTTGAATTTACAGTGAAAAGTGGGAAGCTGTACTAAGGTATAAACATATTTATAAAAATTTGTAAATATCGATTCATTCAAAATATTAAATAGTGATCGGCTCCAAAGCTGAACATTATCATCACCGATAATGTGCGCGCATGCCTTAACAGGACATAGCAACTGTGAATGTCAGCTTATTTAGAATGAAGAACTTGTTGATATTAATTGGAACTCAGGATGCTGTTACAGAACCATTTCTGAATTGGTCAATTTGAAATCTAACAGCCATTTTGATTTATAAACCAGCAACTTTTTACCAAAAATGACAAAAATATTCATCAAAATTAGAGAATTGAAGATATCATCACGAAATGAACAAATCTAAGAGAGGTCTGCCTAAGGTACATATACACCAAGTATCAAAGCAATAAGAATAGTAGTTGTCAAGAAGAAGTCGAAAAAATAAAAAGTAGACATGAATGGCGATGGATGATCATATGATAAGCTCTGCTCGACAAAGTCAACAGCGAAGCTAAAAAGTATATTTATAAAATGTTTATAACATCCCCAGTCTTCTGCCTTTCACTGTATATAAAAAGGTTTGTATTAACAAATCACAAGTGGACCTTTCAACAACATGTTTCCAACCAAAGTTTCGGAACAGCATCCTGTGTATTTTCATGTAGTTTACTATAATTTATTCATTAACTTGGACGTAATTCACCATTGGCAACAGGACTTGATCACATTTTCTAAAAAAAAATATGAAAAATATCAAGTTTGTTTGTTTTGTGAAATGCTGACAAAATTTTCTTAGATGATTACAACACATCTGTGTGACTATCGGTACCGGTAATACTGTAAATAGGGTATTTGATTTTTTGGTAAAACCTGAAAGCATGTTCTTAACAATTCTTTATTTTGTTTCGTTGTTTCTGTTTTAATAGTAAATTATTTTAATCTGGCACATTCTGAACAGTTTTGATGAAAAAAAAGTTCAGAAACAGAGCATAAAACATTTCACTTCTAAGCTATATAAATGATATATTGCTTTGTTTCTTTGCTTGAAGGCTTTTACAGTGGGTGGGTAGGAAAATATATCCAGAGGCTGTTCAACATGCTGGGAACAAAAAATATTTACTTCCTATATTGACAAATTATCCCAATGGCATTTAAGTTATGAGAGAGGTCAAGAATCAGGGTCATCTGTGAAAAGCCAGTTTCAAGAGGCTGTTTAAGTATTCGTATCTCCAGACCATTAAGCACTTCCAAATCAATTAGAAAACTTGTTAGGGTTGGTAATTTGAGAAATTGAGTGTAACAATTTGGTGCTGTTTAGAATTATAATCATGTTATGCTTATTAGTACAAAGCATTTAATATGAAGTGACAAGTCACTGGTGATGAATGCCCCTCACATGCCCTGCAGTTGTTTAGGGTCATGGTTCCGACCTGAGGGGTTTTACCAAGTATATGTCTGAACTTATTCTACTTTTCACAAAAACATAATTAATGATTTCCTTGAGCTACTCTTGGTAAATCACCGATTAGAAAATGGTGTCTCAAGTCTTTGAGATGTCCTAGTTTTTTTCTGCAAACATTTCATTTGCAGTTATTGCATGTATTAATAAAGTGATTTTCATTTAAATTACAAATCAATTGCACATTTTAATTGCTATGAACAGTGTATGGGAAAAAGTGCCCCCCCCCCTCAAACTGTGGCATCAGTGAATTTTTCTTTTAAAATGAAACTATCGAAATTGATTCACTCGATTAATTTTCAGTAGTCTTAACCTTTTTACCACCAGTTCCTTTTTATCACAAATTCACAAAATAGTCCCGTTTATAGTCTGCACTTTCCTTCAGAAGATTAGGACAAAAATATTTTGAGTAAAAACTGAAAATTGACTCAAATTGTGTCTGTTAGCTCCAAAATTAGGGTTCATTTCCAGAAATATTGAAGAATATTTAAGAATATATCCTGTGGTAAAAAGGTTAACTCTACCGACATCAGATTATGTTTCCTGACAGAACTTTTTCTATTTTCCAGTTTTTACCAAATGCGAGTTTAATCTTGGAACTAACTTACATCTAACTTAACACTGCTTACAACTTTTGGTGAAAAAATTAAAAATAGTGATTTAACTGATAGAAAGTGGATATTGTACAGGGACTTTCTTGGAGGTGATGATTATTGGACAATGACGAAAAGAGGTAAATTCTACTGTACTTGCATCCTCAAGTCTGCAGAAACTTGACATATCATTGCAAAAGATTTTTAGTTCATATTTTGCAATTGCAATTATAATTATAATTATTTGAAAAAAACATTATCATCAATAATTTTTGGCAGATCTTGTAGTTTGAGCAAACTGTTGACCACAGATAAGATTTTTATACCAGACTATAATATCTGATATCAGAGAGAAAAAGAATGTCCAATATCTAAATAAGGAATAAAACTTCTGGTTTCATTCATGTTTTTAACGTGAAAATTGGAACATTTCTAACATATGGAAAATTCTCCAAAGTTTGATCTGCTGGTGATTTCCCCCAATTTAAAAATTATTGAATTTCAAATTACAATTGTGGACCTTGCTCAATATTGATCAAAAACTGCCAGGAGCTTTAGTTCCAAATATGGAATTGACTGCCAAATTTGGGCATGCATATCCAAATACGGACATGGCAGCATAATTAGTCATGTGTTAACTACCAAATATGGAGTTTTGCAGACAAACTTGGTGAAAGGAAGTTGCACTATAACATTGATTGGCAGCATTAGCAACAATTAAAAAAATGATACATAATAATATAATTACATATATATTTACAACTTACTAAAAAAAGAAACTTTGCAATTACAAACACTTGATGAAATAAAAATATTTTTGAAGGTAAGTACTTACGAGTGGACCATTTAAATTACAAGGGCGTACTTGAAAGTTAGATTTCAAAGAAATTAGTTTTTTGACTATATTGCATACTGTTTGTATTTTTTTCAGCAGCTGCCTAATATTCAAATTTAATATGACATTCAGTTCACCCCCTCTGAAATTTTAATCGTTCACCATCTGAAATTTTAAAGGTTCACCTTTAAAATTTAGACTTGCTAAAAAAACAAGCTAAACATCTTGACAAGTTATTTTACTGTGTATTTCAAGGTAATAGTGGGGATTCAAGACTGAATGGCGGCATTACATTTTTTTTCTTAGTTGTGGATTAGTAACTTTGGCAATAATTGTATACCCTAGTGATATTTTTCAGACCACATGTGATGTCCTATCTGAATGTCTATCTTAGATGTTAAAAATATGAAGAAGTATAGAAATACTGGAAGACTTTTTAAAGACACTTGAGTGGTCTCACATGAGGAACAGTTTGATTCTTTGGTGATGAATACTTTTTAGTATCTTAGGAAGGCCTGGGAAACTGAATAAAACATTTGTGTCAACTACTGTTCAGTGTAATCGGCCTATTGCAGTACATGACTGGAGATTCACCTATTGCAACAAAAACAGGGATTGTGATTGGCCAACTTCATAAGCATGTGGTGATGAATAGCACAACTGCTGCAACACAAGCTGTTATTGGTCAGTTGCAGAAACAGAAATGTTGATTATTCAATTGCATTAACACAAACTGTGATTGGTCAATATCAGTATGACCAATTAACTGCTGTAACACCACTGACGGTGATAAAGGAAGTCCTACGCTGGCAAATTATGTCTGGTTGATTGTACTAATTAATGCAGGTGATGACTGGTTAATACTGGTTGGTAGTTCAGCTATAAGTATCAAAAGTTGCACCTGGACATCTCTAGCACAATTACCTCCTACACAAAGATATAAATAGTGTTGTTGAATAGCATCAATTGATCATCTCATGAAATATGAACATGAATCACATTGCAGATGGCAAAACATCATTTAAGATTTGTGGAATCAGGCAGCCAATATACACCACCCAGGCAGGATTTGAATAATACACTGTTTACACTTGCAGCTGATTCACAGTTACCTATACATATGTGGGCCTTTCAATAAAAGGCGGGGTTGGTGTGTTCAATGATACAACGTTTACACTCTCGCTTGATCGCTCGGTAGGCTTCTAACGAGAGATTACACTCTTGAATGTTAAGCTGTTGTAAATCCGGACAGCATTTGGATAGCGCTGATATGCCTTTATCGGTAATGGACGTGCACGATTTGATACTAAGTCTACGCAAACTCATGCAGTTGGCCGCAACTTTACTTAGTCCAACGTCTGAAATGGCAGTACATTTTCCCACATCCAGTGATCGTAACCGTTGGCAGTTACGAGCCAAGTGCTCCATGGATAAGTTTGTGATTTGATAGCAGCCTCTGACGTTCAAGTACCTGATTTTGAAACAATACTTGGCGATGTACCTGACTCCAACGTCTGTTACATGTTCGCATTTTGCCACGCTCAAATACCTAAGTCGTGTGTTCAACTTTGCAACTTCTCTTAATGCATAATCCGTTATTCGGTGGCAGTCACTGATGGACAGCTCTCGCAGTGCTGTACAATGGGTCGCTACGTACTGTACTCCAACGTCACTAATGTTCACGCAGCGACGTAAATACAAATTGACAAGTTCAATGCAATTTGACGCAATGATCTGTAGACCAGCGTCTTCCAATGCATAACAGTCTGTCATGTCGAGGTAACGGATACGGATACGTTTTCCATGAAGCGGGCATGCGTGTAAGCTTGCTTCAAGCGAGAGGTCGATGCAAGTTATCTGCGGGCAACCTAAGAAGAAATAAGAAAGATAAATTTTATGATCTTAAGAATACTATTAAGTATATGTATTTATGCAGTATGACAATCATATTGATCGCCATGTATGATGCAATGCCAAACTCTCTGAAAAGACATGGTGGGTCTATATTCACTGACAACTCCTCAATAGAAGATTCCACTCTTGAAAAGGGGTGACATAGTGGGTTGATATTCACCAACAGCTAATCTACTCAATGGAAGACTCCACTCTTGAAAAGGGGTGACATGATAGATTGATATTCACCAACAGATAATCTACTCAATGGAAGATTACACTCTTGAAAAGGGGTGACATGGTGGGTCAATATTCACCAACAGCTAATCTACTCAATGGAAAATTAAAAGGGCTGACATTGTGGGTTGATATTCACCAATAGCTAATCTTCTCAATGGAAGATTCCACTCTTGAAAAGGGGTGACATGATGGGTTGATATTCACCAACAGCTAATCTCCTAAATGGAAGATTACACTCTTGAAAAGGGGTGACATGGTGGGTCAATATTCACCAACAGCTAATCTACTCAATGGAAGATTAAAAGGGCTGACATTGTGGGTTGATATTTACCAATAGCTAATCTACTCAATGGAAGATTCCACTCTTGAAAAGGGGTGACATGATGGGTTGATATTCACCAACAGCTTATCTCCTAAATGGAAGATTCCACTCTTGAAAAGGGGTGACATGGTATGTCAATATTCACTGACAACTGATTCCACATCTGATAATGCCAATAGTATTTCATTCACATTTTCAAATTTTTTATCAACACTGATTCAGAAATGCTGGGGGAACTATTATTCATTATCTTATTATTTTCTTTGGTACTGAAGTGATGGTTGTATTTAGTGAATGGTGGCCATTTTGTTTGTATTATAAGCTTTTACCATTAGTTGCTATGGCAATTATGCAATATCTCAAATTGTACGCTAGTGACATAGCGTCAAATATCTGGGTTTAGATAAGTGTTAAGTGTGTTAACTATTATAAAAATAGTAATTTTGAAAACAATTAAGCCAATTTTCTCAAAATACGGTACTTGTAAACACACAAAAGAATGCTGTTGCATGTTACAATGGAACTACTGTGGAATACTTTATTTTCGCTGGAATTAATTTTCACTGAAAAGGCTTTTTGGGCGTTTTGCTTGGAATTTATTTTCACTGATTTTTGATGAGTTTAATGTAAATGTAATGTAATGTATATTCGCTGGATTTTATTTTCACGGAATCATGCCTTCAGCGAAAATAGCGAAAATACATTCCAAGCAAAAATAAAGTATTCTACAGTATAATTCCATGGCTATACTTAACACACCAATGAACATTGTCATGTGAGTTATCACCAACTTACTCAAAAATGAGTGTACATTAAAAAATGAAACACTTCTGGATCTATTTCTTATATACATGTACATTAATTTCAATAGTAAACCTTACACATTGAAATAAAATCATTGTTATAAATTTAGCATTATAAAATAAATGTCAAACAGCATCCAAAACAAAGAAAATTTAATAGTTTTTAATTCCAGTATATATTTGGTATATTTTTTTAAATTTTTTTTTAAAGTCAATCAAATAGTTATTTGATGAATAAAACATGATAAAGTTAATTTCAAAAGATCATTTCAATGAGTATTTGTTTATTTAAATTTTGTAACAATTAGTCTTCACACCTGCGTCTGGCCAGCAAACAGGAATGTGACCCGATATGATCTTTTTGACGCATTCCCTTTTATAGATTGTGGGATACTGTAATTTACGGCGTAGACTATGACAGCAGTATTGTCTGCTTTCACACTTAATGTGTAACCAACGTGCCATGTTATTGGTAGTCCACGTTAATGGAGCATGTCGCCTATCTCACCATACAGTCATGTTTTAGCATAATGGAATAATACTTCATGTTTATGGCGTTATCTCGTCTTTGTGGAACCCTTTGATAAAGTCGATATCAATTTTTATTCATCTATGCATTTATTTCATCCACAACTACAACAGAAATCAAAGAAAGCTCAGAAAGAACTCCCGTGTGCTGAGAGAGTTTTGGAGACACATTAAAAATTAATTCAAAATTACTTATACTTGAGATATTGATGGAATAGCTGAAAACTAATTATGCAAATAAGGTAACTAATATGAACAGATTTAAGTGTAAAACTAATAAGGTCTGCACAATGTACCAAGTTTCATTGAAATGTGATTAGAACCAAAAAAATATTAATTATTATGCTAATTAGAGAATTAATATGAACAGATTTTAACCCAAAATTAATCAGACTGTTTACTGTCCTAGAGCATTTATGTACCAAGTTTTATTCAAATGTGATGATCAATACTTGAGATATCAGTATTAATTAATTATGTTAATTAGGTGATTAAGAAGCATAAATATTTACCAAAAACTAATATGGTGCATAGTCTTATGTTCATTGAAATGTGATGG